TGCGGAGATAATGGCATTATTATCTAGACTACACAACTTCATTGTGTCTGGCTCAGGACTGATGTCTGTCTTTCATGTATGCCATTTTGCTTAGTAAGACTATCTCATTTTATCCATTTCACTCTACTTTTATATGTAAATATGAAGTGCAGTGTTATGTAACATACATCCCTGCATTAGTGCCACCCAGAGGCATCTCCAGACAGATCTTGTACTTGTTTTAGTCATTTGATTCAGAGAGAATGGTGAAGGGAAGTAGAGAAGAGTGGCAGAGGAGCGTGGTGGGAGGGTCAGGTAAATGAAGGAGGAGGAGGAGGAGGAGGAGGAATAGACAGCCACTGGGCTTGACTGTACTTGCCAGCACATTTGGGGAAAAGCTCTGAGAGCACAGCCTTATACAGACATTTCCAAGAGAGCATGTGCCCCGACCGTGCACTGCGGTTTCCTGTTAACCCCTTGCTGACCAAGAAACCACTCAGAGATGAGGAACTCTGGCTGTAATAACAATAAATGAAGACAGACAGGGTTCAGTGTTAAGTGTTTATTTCTAAGCATACGTGCAATTTGCACATCATCCTGGTGAAAATTTCCTGTGCTGAAGTCCTCTGTTGTATTAAGCAAGTCCTTTGCTGAAGGTGCCTTAAAGGTTGGTGGCTCAAATCCATGCCAGAGCATCAGCCAGTGACCTATTTGTGCTTAAGAGAAAACCTCTTAAGTCAACTGGTCAATTAGTTAGCTAAACTCCACAGCCAGCTTCAGTGTCCTCACGGTTGGACTGGTGGTCTTCGTCCAAGGAAGGACAGGAATAGATTGTTTATGGCCGCGCCTGTCATGGTTTATTCCAGTACTAAAACACAGTCCAGTCAAACCCCAGCAGTGAGTCTTCTGCAGCCTGCTATACCCAGCGGACCGGGTCAGCACATGGACACACGTGTTGGCATGTTGACAGGTGTTGAGGGTGTGTGCTTGTCCTTGTCTTAATGTGCATGTGCCACACACGCTTTTAGAGTCTCAGTGTCCGTAGTTTTATCAATAATGCAGCCGCTCACTCAGTCTCACTCCTGAGCCCTCGCTTTCTCTGCCATTAAATATGCATCCGTTTCCCAGTCCTATGTCTCTGTCCCCTCCCAGTTCCCATAAGCCCTCCCTGCCCCATACATTGACAAACACGCTTGATGCAGATGAGATCAGAGTGCGCTGCAGTATTTATCTGTCCGACCTGAGGTGGTTTTAACCTGCTACAAGTGAGCGATGGGCATTGAGTGCATACGGGCTTAACATTAACAGTGGCTTCTCTCCCTTGTAAAAATTCCTTAATACGCTGTTGTCAAAATAGTTATGACTTTCTACATGCATCGTTTGTTCTCTTCCATTTAAGTTCAAATATTTAAATTACATATCCAAGATATTATGGTAACAGTCCACAGGGATGTGTGCTGTCACAGATACTTTGAGAGTGAAAATAATCCGTTTTAAAATATATTTGACTGTTTTTTTTATTATTTATTGCACACCCTGAGCATTAGCCGATACAGATATTTGAGAGTTACAAACATAATAGCAAATTATATATCTGCCTCAAAACATAACATAAATAATCATGTTAAGTAAGGACCCCTTCAGGCTGTTTTTTAAAATAATTTTGACAAATTTATGTACTTAAGACATTCTACAGCTGAAAAATAAGCTTGCCATTGCTATTTGGCACACTGTACTAAATTATTTCAAACATATCTGTTATGCTTTTTAAAATTATTATTATGTTCACCTAGCTAAAACTAATACAGTCTAATACACTGGTTCTCAAGCTATGGCATGTGTACCATTGGTGGTACGCAAGCTGCCTCTAGTGGTACATGGAGGAATCTGATATTTATTTAAATATTTTATAAGAAATGTAATGAGTTAATGTAAAAATTTTTAGCAGTTAAGCCAAAATTGGGCGTAAATCAGCCTGACTTCCTTATTTGGCATAGAGACCTCTTTGTTTGGCACATGGCAGCATACAGTATCGGTGTCAGATAATTCAGATTCTGCAAAATCCTGAGGTCCCTTTTATCAACAAGTTTCATCCCAGATCTCACCGCTATCTGTATTTACACATTTTTGCTTATATTAGAAGCTCTTCCTCACTTAGCACTTCTAGTCTGTCCAAACATTGTCCAAGTTTAGATCCTGCCTCATTACAAGCCCCTCGGGTGATGGGTTTTCTGCCTGAAAGTATTTAAGAGGAATGTGCTAAGCTTCACTATTTAAAAAAAATAAAATAAATAAATATATATACTTTTTTGCCAAAATATTAAAATAAAAGTAAAGTTCTGAAAAAATCTCTCTAGCTGCTGTACAGGTTGCCAAAGCATAGAGGAAAGAACGTTACTGTGAAAAACTGGACCAACATTCACCGGGGGGCACACTTATTATAAGACGTGTGCCAAACAACACAATCACAGGAAGGCCTTTTGAAGTTGATATAATACACTTTTCTAAGATTGACAGCAAACTCAAAGCTATCTGGTGTGTTGTGAAATTGTAAACCACTCCCATGTGTTACACAGTTAATGCTAAAAGTTACTCACTGTTTCTACCAGGAGTGCTCAAACACTTAATACTTTAAACTGTATAGGGATATTTGTAGGCCTAGAAATGTGTAGTAGTTCCTGGTTGGAGCAGAGCGAGCATCACAGAATTCTTTGCTCATTACTCTCTCCTTTCTTTTCATGTAGCTTTGATACTGTAGCTGTCAGGAGTGAAGCAAACATATAATTTCCAGTTAACATGGACTGAATTTTAATGTTATCTACACGTGTGTGTGTGTGTGTGTGTGTGTGTGTGTGTGTGTGTGTGTGTGGACATTGATTATTCAGGCTGAGGCCGTCCTTATTAGGCAGTGTTGGCAGCAGGAAGTGGGTTGTGGCTTTGGTGCTGTGTCACAGGAAGTAGCAGATTGTATCAGGGGTGGGACAGATGGAGGGAGAGGTGGAAGAGATGGATTAAGGGACTATAGGGAGAACATAGGGGGCAAATAAGGAGAGGAGGGGGAAGAATCAGCCACCTTTGTTCCTCTGTGTCTGCGCTCCTTTCTATTAACTGTACTCTCTGTTATTTTATACTTCCTCCAATTTGTCCATACCCGTATTGTACGGTCCATATTTGTTGTGGTATAAAATTGCAGTACTCTTTTCTACAATGAACGATTTCTTTATCGGGAGATATCAGTGTCCGAAATGCAAACGCATATGCAAACACATGTACACACACACGCAGCCTCTACTGCTACCTCAACTTGCATATGTGCGGGCATTCTCGAATGTGTTGTAACTTGTGTGTATTCGGCCTGCGTGGAACTATAAATAAATGTTTTGTCACTGAGCTCACACCACATGTTTTCTCTCAAAGTGTGTGGAGGTGGAGGTTGATGCAGAGCAGGTGGAAGATTCCAGAGCCTCGTCTCTTTGGCGACTCTCGGCACAGTTTCCTGTCTTTGTCAGCCTCCATTGTTGTCTCGCCTCCCATCTTGTTTGGCATCGAACTAATGTCTTTTTCTCCTCTCACTCAAATCAACACTTTGCTGCATTCCTTCTCTTAGTCTTTCACTTCTTAGTATCCTCAGCTCTACTGGTAGCACAGATGCTTCACACTTCAATAACACAATCATGATTTTAGCTGCAATGATTTGATGAATTAATCTGCAACCCTTTATGGACTAATCAGTGTTAGTTTCTCCAGTGAGAGGACTTGCTGTTTTATATCATTGTAAATTGAATATCATTGGGTTTTGGACTCTTAGTCAGACAAAACAACATTTGAAGATGTCAACTGTGGGAAATGTGATGGGGAATTTTTCCCATCAATACCAGAATGTATGTACAAATGTGCTGTGTTTAGATGTCTGTCTTTTGTTAATGTTGTGTATGCATGAGATTATGTACAGAGTGTGGCAACAATTTCCCTGGAAAGGACAATAAAGAATATATATATTTATCTATTTTTTTTACTGTTTTCTGACATTTTATAGAGCAATCGATTAATCAAGAACATGGCTTGCCGATAAATCAATAATGAAAATAATCCTTAGCTGTGGCCCTAATTGTGATACCTGATATTCGTGCCAAGAGAGATCCTATTCTTGGATCAATATCAAACTTGCCAGACCACTATTTCAATTTCACAAACTCCACTGTCAGCATGTTACAAATTATACAGTATGACCCATTAGCCGGATGTTTATTTCATAGCACACTTTCAGAAGCACTGTATTGTGACTCTCATCTGTTAAAATTGTTTATTTATAGTGGAGACTACTGAGTGTTTTTGGTCTGTTTGTCCATCCGGTGTCTCCAATTCCTCCTCACCTGCCCTTGTGTTTGCTTCTTCCCTTCCAGCTGCAGTCCACACTACATATAATCATTTCATAGCATTTCAAAGTGGTAAAATGTTTTAGATTATACTAATTGATCTGTAATAAGAAATGGAATTTGTCATTAGATATTGTATTGTATTATGTTGTTTGTTATTTATACTTTATATTTTATACTCACACATAAGTATATAACTTATATTGCAAAATAGAGAAGAAATAAGAGTATTTGTCTACATCTTGTATGTCGATATAGCCATGAAGATCTATTATCTCCATAGACCTTCAGAAACACAAAGTTTGACCACAAAGATCCTTGATCATACCTTTATTTTCTGAGTGTGCATTTCCTACCACAAACCTCAGTGGTTTTATTTCTGTGGTTATGTTTTCGTCTTGCAGTCTTTATTTTCTTCTTGGCTACAGGTAGGAGATGTGTTGTGTTTTGTAGGCTTGGACAAGCAAAGGATGCACCACTGAACATACAAGCTCATACTGTTTTTGCTTGGCTGCCTGTACCATTTTTGAAAGAATAACAAATCAAACTTCAAATTTACTGACTGCATCCTGAGTGAGTGATGTTTTTTGTTTGTTTTGGGACTTGTGGTCTTCATACTATAAAAACTCTCTCTCTGTCTTTCAGTGAGTCGAGTATTTGCCAGGCTCGGGCCACTGTGATGATATATGACGATGGCAATAAGAAGTGGCTGCCGGCGGGCGCTGGAGCCCAGGCCTTCAGCAGAGTCCAGATCTATCACAACCCCACCAACAATGCCTTCAGGATAGTGGGACGCAAGATGCAGACGGACCAGCAGGTACAACTGCCAGCGTCTTTCTCGCTGTGTGTCTGACAAACGTTGTGTGTTTGGGGCTTCTGTGTGAGTTTGCCTCTGGAGGTGCGAGTGCGTGCGTGCGTGCGTGCGTGCGTGCGTGTCATGTGGATGTCAGTGGTCTCCTGTAAGTACCTAATGGTGTATGAGCAAGCAAGTGTGAGACAGACTATCTTTGTATGTGCCCATTTATTCATTAACTATTATCTATCAGACACCACACGAGGGCTGTGCGACAATATTTACTGTATATACTGTGACCATTTTATCAGCAATACTTAAAAAGTTTTATTTATTTATTTATAAATTTTATTACTCTTTAATTGCATTCATTTAGTCAGTTATTTACTTGCACTTATGACAATCTGGACTGTGTACCAGCAAGACATTTAGTGCAAGTATGGTAAGTATTACAGAAAAATGGTTACCTCCTGAACTATAGCACCGGAGCTCGCAGTTTAAGAGAAGATTACTTTACTTTACTACAGTTTGAGTTTATTCCATGAATTCAATGTTAGGACAGTGTGAGGGGATAAGGCGCGCTGTGTTTATTGTTGAAATTTCTCAACTTGACAGGACACTTGTGTTCACTTTGTTTATCTTGTCAGTTTGTTTTTATGCTTTGGGAATGAGAGAACATGTAGAGAACATTTCTGCAAATGGCCGAGAGGAAGCTGGAATACTATACCAAGCTCTCAGACGAGCTTTTGTCTTTTAATTGTTACTGTGAGGATTTCAAGCGTTTGTACATTTGTACCTTTTGCAGCAACCATTTAGACAAAAACTAGTTTCATACAATTCTGCCTCTGTACTCATTTACTACAATGGAAAACAATGCCAGGTTATTGTATTATGAATGTAAGCTTGTGTTTTACTTCTGTTCTATAAATTAGATTGTTATGAAGAAAAATCCTTTTATAAAGTCATTTTCAGAAACGAAAAAAAAAAACCTCATGGATATCAAGATGTATATCCTTTATTGTCAGAAGCTTAAAAATAACAAATATCAAATAACACACTCAGACATAAAGCTGAATTTCTGTGGCACACATAGTGGGCATAGTGAGAGACTGTTCTTCAAACCTGAGAAGGCACCTGCATGTTGGATAAGGAGAACAAAGAGGGTTTCCTTGTCGTTATTGCCAGACTATGACTCACAAGATAAAGGTGGGCAGATTCCAAGTTTAAAACCTGGGTAAACTGAGTTCGGGTGGGTCTATTCTTGACTACGCCCCTGTTCTGTCGGCTGCCTCAGTGTCTCTCTCCTTCTTTAAACATTTAGGACTCTTAAGCTTTCCCCAGAGACAGGTCTTAAATTGGATGATGTTTCCTGTGAGATAGTTAGCCTGATCAACCATTTCCTGTGACAATTTAGGGAGAAGCCTGATACCCAATAAGGACTCTAATTTTGTGTCGGATGGAGACGTGCAACTTGCTTTAGGATGGTGCTTGGTGAGAGCACAGAGGTGCTAATGAGAGAGAATATATATATATATATTTACTGTCATGCCCTCTCCTATTCCTCCTGTTCTCTCTATAGCTGTTTATAGAGTAACTTTATGTTGTTTTCACGCTTGTCTTTTCAGTTCAGCATCCCAAGCCTGATTGTATGATTAAACTGCTTTTAAAAATGAGATTATCTTGATTTTCTATGCGTTTCTGGCCATATTCACAGTCTGCCACACCTACCTTTCTTGTGTTTTGACAGCATTGTGGAGAGTTTAGGAATGCCACCGTCTCCAGTGACAGCTGAACTTGCAACCCTCTCTTTTCAGTGCATGTTGCCCGCTATGATATTCACCCCGACGGGTCTCCTCTCCTCCTCTCTGCTCTGTGGAATCCAGTGGCTGTTAAACAAATAGTGAAATGGTGCGTCAGCACATTCAGGCAGCGCTCAAACCCAGAACATTTTTTCCTCCTGGTTCATTGGCTTCACGCCACCTGCTGGGTGGAATATAAACCAGAATAATCCAACAACAATAAAACAGACACTATAATTTTAAGCATAAGCAGGGATGTGGGTTTGAGGTTGTTTTTGTTTTTCCAGTTTTCTAGTGAGGGATACAGCTCGCAGAGGCTTTTTCTTGATTCTATTACCTGTTTTGGGTATTTATTAAAAACTTCTAAGCAGGTTTGGAATTGGTTTAATATAAAATCAGATCTTTGGAACTGTTGCCATTTTTTCAAATAGAGACAAAAAGCCACCAAATGACCCATCAATGACTGTCCTCACCATCTCTACCAAATAGATCCTGAATTGGAATTGATAATCTGTTCCTATTCCTTCCACAGGTGGTTATAAACTGTCCAATTGTGAGAGGTTTGAAGTATAACCAGGCCACACCCAATTTCCACCAGTGGCGGGATGCCCGGCAGGTGTGGGGGCTCAACTTTGGCAGCAAGGAGGATGCTGCTCTGTTTGCCAATGGCATGGCTCACGCTCTGGAGGTGCTCAACTCCATAGCGGACGCAGGTAAATTAGTTCTCACTAGATTCCCGGTTCCATCAGCATCCGCAGGCTCATTCACGAAAGGCTGTCTACATTCAGATTTGATCATAAATGTGCAAAAGACCTGACTGTCATGTCTGGGATCTTCTCCAGTGCTGGCAGCTCTCTGTCCAGACTACATGAAAAGCCCAGTTTCTCTGAGCTTTTAGGCCCCCTCATATTGTACCCTAGTAAGGCTGACAGTTTTTTTCTGATGACTAGTTCTAATGTTTAGTTTCTGTAGGTACATTTCACACACAGGGCTAAGGCTGGCTGCTCTTACGTAGGATTATTTGGCCCTTTACTTATGACGGATTTTCCTGGAAAGTGCATTCAATCTAAGAGCAAACCTGAAAACCTTTTACATGAGATAAACAAATTAGTGCTCTGAGAAAATAAGAACTTGTGATGTATTAGAAAGGCCCATCCTCTTGTGTTTTATCTTATGTGTTCTTAAAAAGTGCTGTGCTGGTTCTGGGTATGGTTTTGCGCAATATGATGCAAGATTGGTTTTTCTTTTGGTTTTCCATTTTTCTTGCATTTTTAAGTTGATTTGAATTTGCTCACTCAAATCACATAGTATCAAGTAACACTAGTTTTCTAAAGTAATATAAACCCCACTCATTCCCTTCTTCACTACTGATGTCTGGTCCATAAGACCTGCTATTGAGTCTTTTGTTTGTGTTTGTTTATATCAGCTGCCTGTTTAGATAAAATCAGATCCCTTGCATATCTCGTGCTGTTGAACCATGAACAAAACTGTAAACACAATCTGTACTTTAAGAGCTCCGGAACAGTGTGGAAAACCTACTGCAATTATAGACCATAAAATGCTAATCCACGGTGTACAGCACCCTCTATCATATCATCATGGCAGTCTACATGATGGTCAGACTTTGGACAATCAGCTACATGGGTTGACAAGGTGTGTACACCAATAAAAGCAACTCAGTCACATAAAAAAAAAAGTCATAAATTGTTCAAGAGCAGTTACACAGCAGTGTCTTATCCCATGTTCTGTAACCGTTTTATTATTTGTATTAATGTTTTCTGTGCTGTGTTTTGGCAGGCTATGCAACACTTCCCCGCCCAGTGTCAAATGGACCTCCTGCGGAAGATCTTGAGCAACAGCGGAGGTACTTTCAGACTTCCTCTTAATCAAACCCATCTTTGCTTTGCTAATTCTAATAAATCGCCAGCCACAATTGTGAAACCCCTTGGATGTTGTCCGAGCCTGATACAGCAAAAAAATAATGAATGTATGAAGCTGATATGATTGACATTTTTTCAGGTTTCTTCTGGGTCTGCAGGCTGGATTTAGCAAAAGAGAATAAGCTAAAAAATAGATTTTCTTTGGAGCAAGTTGCCTATTCTGCGAGGTTTATGTTTATAACGGAACAAACGTATCCTCTGGGTTTAGTTGCATAACAATCAATTGCAAGTCAAGCTGTCTTGGCTTTGTGGTGTCCCTGTTGGCACGGTTTGCACACACGCATATGTAGAGGATTTGATGGTATTAGCCTGACGGTGCTAAACCCTCTGTCAGCCCCTGTAGGTTAAAGGTCAGAAAGACAGCAAGGCGGACACCTCTCGCATCAATCCCACCTTCTTTGCATCTATCGGTTTCTACAGTGAGACCTGTTGTGCACGCCTGCATTGACAAGGCATTAACCGTTTAATCTCATTTAGACTGAAAAGTAATATGTTGCACAGTCGGGAAGGCTTTGTGATTGGCTAGAGGGACTGTCTGTCAAGTTACTAGCTGACCCATTGGCTGCTGACGTACTGTGGCTTAGGGAGCCTTTAAAACCTTTGAAACCCAGCACAGATGCAGGTGGAAATTATTTCCATTAATGCTTTTAGAGCTAATGAATTTACAATTTCCTCCAGTATCAGATGGTTGTAAGAAAAATCTGAAGAAACACAATGGACGTAATCTCCCCTCCCCCTTTCCTGGGGACTCGCCCTAGTCAATCAGTTGTTCTAAAAATCACAGCGACTCTCACTTTGCATGTATGGCGTGTGTGGACCTTTTTTTGAGTGGGTTTATATGTACGTTGTATGTGTCCTGTTCTGTATACAGCTGTTGTGAGTAGCAGATGTTGGGGAAGAGGGGAGGGAGCAATAGTGAACCGAGGCTGCTCGAATTAGGCCACTGTGTCCAGCTGTGGACTTTATAGTGACAGGCTAATCAGGAGCTATGAAATCCCTCTCTCCTTTTAGCAAAGTCTCTATATTGAAAACAAATCCCGGTTAGAACTCTTTACACTTGTGCCCAAATGCCATAATTAGACAGAGTTGCTCAAAAACAATGGATGTTGCATAAATTATCAAATAATCTGCAGACCATTTACACATTAACGGCTGAAAGCTGGCATTACTCATCATGCCCCTTTCCTTTCTTGCTTTCTGCTTTATCTCATGGTTAGCCTGTCTAATCATACCAGCCAGATTAAATATAAACTTTTTCATGTCTGTCCTGTACAGTCAATGATTTATTTTGAGTATGTTTACATATATTCGTTGCTGACAGATGTGTTTGTCTTTGTATGTAGATTGGAGCAGCAGAGGTTGGAACAGCAGGAGCGGGAGCGACAGGAGAGAGAAAGACAGGAGCGGGAGCGACAGGAAAGAGAGAGACTGGAGAGAGAAAGACAAGCTGCTGCAGGTCAGGAAACACCTGGGCAGGTCAACATAACTGCATATAACTACAATACAGTCTAGGCTTGGTAGTTCCTCATATTTCACAGAGTGAACACAGTGATCATCGTTTCTTAAGATCTTCACACGCTGGTAACAGTGATCTACAGGCCCTTTGCATACTGTGTGAGAAGGCTCACAAGATAAAATCTCGATCACAAATCTGTGTCAGATTGTATGATACCATTGAAGCGTGACAGTCTAGTTATTCATTGTGCTGCCATGTAAATAAAAAATATGCAAGCAGAGACGCAGTATCAATAACACCAAAAAACAAGTTCCTCATTTCCAGCTCTATATTATGTTATCTGAGACTCCACTAGCTTTGCATGATTAATTCTTGTAAAACATCCATAAACCTAAAATCATAAATCCATAAAACTAAAACAAGCCATCTCTTTAAGCCCCCCATTTTAATTTAGTTCTAAATTTGTGACACTATCAGAATTTTGACACAGGTTGTCTCTGGGCGCCAAAGTTCTAAATCGGCTTTCTTGCATTATGATTTAGGATCATTGTTTTGGATTTTAGACTAACAAGTTCACTACCTTTCTCCCAAGATTGTCAACTGTCTGGGACGTCACACTGTCATTCGCACATTGTCTTCACTGAACAGTTTGGGAATGGTTACTGATGGTCCCTCTTTGTTTTTTTTTAGTCCCAATTCCTCCAGCTCCACCGTTGGCCCCTGGAGGCCCCGCTCCTCCACCAGTCCCTCCTCCACCCCCTGGCCCTCCTCCTGCTTCTAATATCCCTCCCCCGCCGGGACCACCTCCCTCAGGACCTCCACCGGCTCCACCCCTGCCTGCTGCAGGAGGAGGAGGAGGAGGAGGAGGAGGAGGAGGAGGAGATGGAGGTGGTCTTGGAGGGGGAGGGGGCTTGGCGGCTGCCCTAGCAGGAGCTAAACTCCGTAAAGTATCCAAGGTGAGAAACTGTCCTATAGACGTGGATTTCAGTTACTTTGTAGCTGCATTTAAAGTCGAGGTAGACTTCACTATAGTTGATTTATTATGTGCTTTTCTAATTATGCAAATGGGTTTCAATCTTCCTGCATAGCCATGACACCTGTGTGACCCATCAGTGTTTGTTGAATCATTGTGCCAACACAATGTCTGCTGAACTCTTTTGCATCTTTCTGCTATTTGCTGCCCTCAGCAGGAGGACGGAGCCCCTGCAACTCCCATAGGTAGAGCTGACTCTAACCGCAGCAGCAACTCTTCTATTGGAGGAGGAGGGGGAGGTGGAGGAGGAGGCGGCGGCGGCGGTCTGATGGGTGAAATGAGTGCCATCTTAGCAAGAAGGTGGGTGAAATCACAAATTTCCAGTTGGATAAAATATAAATTGGCCACACTCAACAATTAGGCTTACTCCTCTGCTTTATATGAATTAGCTTTGGTCTTCATTTCTGCTCTTTCTGCTCTATATTGTGCAGCTGTAATAGTTGTGTAAAATGCTCAGTCTGTTTAACTGTAATTGGTATAACTGAAAGTGATTCCTCTTTTAAATCAGGAGAAAAGCGACAGACACTGGAGAGAAGCCACCTGTGAAGACACAAGATAATGTAAGGATCGGCTTCTTGTCACAATCTGTTTAATGCTGCAAAGAATATAAAACAAGTGTCTTTTTAAACGTGGTCGGTTGATGGATAGTTACAAATAAAACGGTTTGAGGATGACTCAGTCTTAACAAAAGGTCTCGTTTTTTCTGTACAGGATGATTCAGAGCCTCAAGGTCAGAGCGGTGAGAACATTTTTGTCTCTAGTGTGCCACCTACATTCATTCTGATATTAATTTTATGTAATACACAAACTGAATGTTATCAATTCATATTTCATATTTATACATTGTCCTTCTCAGACACCATGAGAAGACCTTGGGAGAAATCGTCTATGATAAGGTAAGTCAGGATAGTTATTGCCATGCAGTACATCTGAAGCCCCCCCCAGGTGTTTGGTGTCTCGTGCTTGAACTCACCCTAAGAGTAGTAATCCATCAGTGTGAATGTGGTTGTGTGAACATGTGTGTATCTACGTTTGCCTGTGGAAAAGTGTGCTTTTGTGTGTGAATGTTCCATTTCCATTCTAAGAGGAGGGTGTGTGTGTCTCACTAACAGGAATAACTCCATCACCAAGAGCATGGACTCCACTTCTTCATTGTCCCAAGGTTCCAGGTATACATGCTGTCCCGTTGACTCGTGACCTTAGTTCCCCTTGCTTTCCTTTTCTCTTCAGGTGTGCACAGCATCACTGCTACCTACGTCCTGGGGAAGCTTATTTTACAGTTGATAGCACAATGTAATGGATCAGAGAATGGCATGCCCTCAAGGGACTTGGGTGTACCAGCTGAGTGTGTTACCTCTGAAAACTCTATAATAAGATAGAAGCCTGTTGGTGTGATTCATTTATTATTTTTACACGTCACTTCTGAGCACTGGAGGTTGATGCTGTCCTCTAGTGGTAAACTTTACCACATTCTGACACTCCTTTTTATTTTTAAAGATGTCTTTGGTGGTGTAGCTGGTCTTGTCTCTATATACTGTGGTTAAAGCATATGCTTGCAACTTTTGTGGTTAAAAGGTAGATAAGTTGCAACCAGTACATATGCAAAATCAAGTTATGTTACTTCCTATTGCATCCCTGGGTGTGAGTACATTTCTGTTCCCTATACCTTCATCCCTTGGGTGCTATGGCGATGAGCTCAACTGACAGTCGGTCTGTCAAGGCAGCGCCATGGATCTTCTTGGCTTTTTGTGAAACGTAATCACAAAATATTTGTCTTTTTTTTTCTTGCCTTCTCACAGGGGGAAGCCTGCAGGAAACAGTAACGATGCAGGTGGCATGGATGACTCGGATTTAGAGAAAATGAAACAGGTATTACTCAGCAACATCAATTCTTGATCGAAAGAGCTGAACTTGAATGTGTGATTATATGCACTTAGGTAACTGGGTTACAGTCTGTTTTCTACAGTTAGCTGTTTCTTGTAATTGTCATATATGTAGACAAATAACCCTGGTTACTACCTGGTAAGTGCTAAACCACTGTTACCATGACCGACCGTCTGTCTGTCAATCCACTTTGTGCAGGAGATCCTGGAGGAAGTGCGGAAAGAACTACAAAAAGTCAAGGAGGAAATTATTGGAGGTTAGTTTACTTTTTACTTCCTAAAACTTTACATATTTCTGCAATATTATTGTATTATAGGTACCTAATGTTTGTTTCCTCTGCTCCCCCTCCACAGCCTTCATTCAGGAGCTGCAAAAGAGAAGCACATAGTTCTGCAGAGTGTCAGGTGTAACGGAGGAATGTGATAGATGGAGGTGGTTGAGGCCCACTGGGACCTCTCCTCCACTGCGCCCTCCCATGTAGCCCAGGGATTTCTCTTTTTCTCCTACACATTTTCTCTTTCTTACACAAATACATGTGAGCATACTTGCTTGTGTGTACATCATGCATATACACTTCATGTAAATGGTAACCCAGGGAACCTCCTCATGTCGCCAATCCGCCACTTTTGATGATCACTCACTAACATTGCAGCGGTTATCCCATCTATCCCATCTCTCCCGTGTTCGTTCATCCCGTCCCCTTGTGTCCTCTTTGTGTTCTGTTCATCTGAACCAATTCAGAGCACATAGCTACAGCCCCAGTTGCTCTTCCAATTCGTCATCATGTACACCCATCATAACCCTCTTTTCTGCATAAATCCCGCTACTTGTGTCTTCTCCCTTCTCCTATCAGACGCAACATTTACTGATAGAGCACTCTTCAGTATTCAGGGACAACGTATTGGTCACATTTTTACTGTAATAGCAAAATGCTGGCATGCTGGGATCCTTTTTTTTTCTGTCTTTGTCAGTTGGCAGACAGTTGTTCAACCTCAAACACTGCTACAGATAGTTCAGTTCAGACTTCTGCTAGTAGGTTATTGTCTCTAATGGTAGTTGGAGGTGGAAAAAAACGACCATAAATCGAGGACGGAGACTCCAACTCCCTGACTACTGCAGTGTCTCTCCTACAAGTGGACTTTGAGCTCCCAGCAATGGCCAAGAACTAAAACAGCACAACACAGGCCTTCACTGCTGCAAGATAGAGAAGTTGGAGGAAGAGGAGACAAGCAAAGGGAATCTGATGGACAACCTGAGTGCTGTGAAAGGGGAGTGTGTTGTAGTTTTATGATGTGTGAGAAATTTATTTTCTTTGCATTGCACTTGTTCCAGAGGAAGTGTGTCTGTATGCCACACTGCCTTGACAGACTATTCCCTCTCACTCAAAATGAGATATTTGTTGGCCAGTGCAGTGGTCTTACACTGTGCTTCCGCTAGTTATTTTCTTCCATTCTAGCTATGTTTTCTAACTTTGAAACATGAAAAATGGCCATGATGAGGTCAATTAATTTGGCCACGACCAACTGCCTTGAGAATAAATATATAAATATATATATATATGGAAAATATATATTTGTTTTGAGGGAAAATGTTAGCAAAAATGAAATGGTGTTTCTATTTTAATTGAAATGACTGGTGAATGGGGATTTTGTTTTCCTTTTTTTTTTTTTTCTTTTTCAATGATTGTTTTCTTATGAAATGTTATTTTGGGTTTACTGTTTCTTTTTTCTAATAGAGTCTAGGCTTTTTACACTGAAATATTAAGAAAACAGCTTAGAGACACTGGATTAGAAATGCCTTTATAGTCGAATACAGCTGCTTCTTGAAAAATGCATTACTTTGTCTTGAGTCATCTTTTGCATCCTGTTGTAAGATTTATTTGAATTCAGACTAGTGACATTTTATGAACTATGGGGCTGAAATGCACAAACGTCCTTGCTCTGAAGTCCAAACTGTTTAGTAGAGAGATTTGAAAGAAAAATTAAAAACATGAAAATAAAATGATTTAAGTCTAATAATTATTAAAAATGTCAGCTATGTGGTTCATGACTGAATTCTACCTCCAAGACAAAGATGTGCAGACTGAATATCTTTTTTTATTTTAATGCAGTGGTTTTACTACCTTTGCCTTTTTGCTTGTATGTATTTTCCCCATACTAATCTGTTCTCTAAAAAGGTTAATAGTTGGACTAAAGCTTTAAAATATGCTGTCATGGATTTTTAAAAAAAATGTAACGTTAGTTTACTAATTTGTTACGGAACTGACGTACAGGGGCTAATTATGAGTTGCTTTTTATGGAGAATACGCTACAATCGGAAAAAAACACTGAACAAATTGCATTATTTTGCTCAAATTAGGGGGAGGAAAAAAAAAACCCTTAAAATTGATCGTACCCATCCTTAAACCCAGAGCCAGTGTCCTTCCAGAGCTCCCTAGATGCTTCCGGATTGGGAAGGCTCGGAGCCGTTTCCGCCGCCATTGCGGATTTTGGACAGAAGATCAGCCGCTGCTATCCATCGATGCAGTGCGGAGAGCACACACAGGAGGGGGGATACATCTGACACTTCTACTCACTCCAGATTACGGAAACACGGTTAACAACACTGCATACGACCTTTTTTATCGTGTTTTTTTTGTTTTGTTTCCACTGACTGGCTCCGACCTACACACACAGTGAGGAGGTCGTAGCTAGCGCGGTGCTACTGCCTAGCCAGCTAGCTGTACGGCTAGACGTTCAGGGACTCCGGAGAAGCTCAAGGAAACCACAATGGCTCAAATCCTGCCTATCCGCTTCCAGGAGCACCTGCAGGTATGTGGGCTAACCCCAAACGCCTTATAGACGTCAACACTTGCGTTATTTGTTGATTTTCCCCGGTTAACGGTCGTCTGACAGCCCGCTAGCTCAGCTAACGTTAAACGTCAATACCCGCAGTAAATGAATGACCTCCCCTCCCCCGTTAGCCAGGAGCTAACAGCTAGCTCTTCGGGCTAGTAACTCATTCATTGCACTGATGCTGTTGCCCAGTCGGCTCCACGTTAGTCGACGTTGGCTGTCAACGACGATTAGGTTTAGAAACTAGCTGGCATTAAACACTTCAGCTGACCTTCAGGGACCGGTTCTGTCGTTATATTTGTATTTATATGCTACATTTAGGTTGGCTTACATGCATTACATTAGCTATTAGCTAACCGTGGCGGTGGTGTGTGTGTGTGTGTGTGTGTCGTGAGGGATGATGGAGTCACGTCATCTCGTTGTAGCTATGCAAGATGTTCAGTCGTGGCTAATATCAACGTTTATCGCCAGGATGGCTGTCAGATTTATTGTTGCGTTTTATTTATATATCCCCAAACTCACATTTTGGTTGTTTTGATGAAGCCATAATGTTATTGACTTGTCACACGGCCCCTCTGATGATGTGTCAGGGATGTATTAGAGCTGGCTGGTAGCTGTAAAGCCGTGGTCAGCTGCTGTCTGACTGGACCCCGTGTCACTTTGCGTCATGAATACAATAAGGTTAGGTCACGACAGTGTGTTTTTACAGCTGGAGGGAGACTGTGAGGTTATTCTGCAAGCTAGATGTTTCTAACTGTGAAATGTGTAGCTTCCGACATGAACCTGGACCAGCCATTCAATCAGAAATGACATAATATGTCTCTCATACATCATATTTTAACACCTGGAGATTGAGCAGTCAGTGCAGTCAGATGTAAGCTCAGCTGGTAGGTGTCTGCCTCTGACTGAAAGGGATTATTAGGTGTGCTTAGTGTTCCCACTAAAACCTTAAATTCAAGACTGAACTCCACCAGAGACAGTTTTCATAATACGACAGTGCACCTTGGATGACCTTTTGCCAAGGGACAATACAGACTCATGGTACGCCTAGATAAAACTAATTTAGTCTAATACAACAGTCATGCAATAAATCCTGTCTAATGAAGGTTGTAATGTTCCGTTTTTGTTGAAACTCTTTTAGAGAAGTGTTGATTATCATTTTGGAGGATGTGGTTTGTGGCTGTTGAGCTGTATTGCTTTATACAGAGAGGGATAAGCCTAGTAATTGATTATAAATAGGGCGGACAAAATGAAAGAAACGCTAGTCAGTATAATTCAAAACAATTATTTGTTTTAACTTGGTGTACCTAATACACTGCGAACTGAGTCTACATAAAAATTAAAACAAGCCCAGCATTGACCAATATTGTAGTGTTAAACCCATGCCCACCAGACTAATAATGATAATACATTCGCTTTTGAGGGCCTTTCAATTAACCCAAACACACTTTACACACAGAAAGCCAGACTAGAGAAAGTGGATGTGATTGCCAGGGATTAGTACCAACGTAGCTACTAGTTCCTTTGGCTTCTGTTTTGCCAGGAATTCGAACAAGTTGCCTTTGCATATTTAAAATAAAAAACAAGAAAGTAACAACAACATTAAAAAAAAAAGAAAGTAAAATTATGATTTATTATTATTATTATTAATATTATCATTTATTTATTTTATTAATTTTTTTTTACTTGCCTTAGATTCGTTGATAATATGATGTCCCCTGGTCTGTTGGACTCCTGCATATCTGCTATCTTTACACAAAGTACCACAATGGAAAGAACTGTTCTTCTTGTACTGAATCACCCTTGAAATTTTTTCTAGTAAACAGTGTTGGTCATGGGCTGCTACTAAAACAGGTCATGCATTCATATCTCAGCTCCAGAACCTGGGAATCAACCCAGCCAACATTGGATTCAGCACCCTCACCATGGAGTCCGACAAGTTCATCTGTATAAGAGAGAAAGTGGGTGAGCAGGCGCAGGTTGTCATCATTGATATGGCCGACCCCAACAATCCCATCCGCAGGCCCATCTCTGCAGACAGTGCCATCATGAACCCTGCCAGCAAAGTTATTGCCCTTAAAGGTAAGCTCTATCTAAAATGCACCTCCAGCACAGTTATCACATAGCTGTATGTGCCACATAGAGAGGAGTGTTCTAGGTTTCTGGAAGCACATAGACTGAAAAGTAAACAATTAAGTTTTGGCCGGCCACACACCGTACTATGGTGCTTTTCTAATACTTTGGGTCATTTGTGTAAATTTTGTTTGTGTTGTCAGTCAGTTATGTAGCTGTCACAGTCTGCTTTTCATTTTGATGTTCATATGTAGACCACCCCATTTCTGTTTATCAAAAAAGGTTGAGTAACTAAAGTGTAGTGTAACAAGTTTAAATGTACAGGACATTGATAATTTACGAAAAGTAGCCATAAAACCAGTGGTAGTAAAATGTCATGCTGTCATGAATGCTTTGTCTATTTTGCTTGTTTTTGCTCTTTTTTCATTTCCTACTGCTTTCTTATGTTTGCAGACGGTGAGTTGAATTTTACATATCATGAGTTGTCAAAGTGTAATCCTGTATGCACTGTCTTGAAATGTATGCACAGTACTGATAGTATTTTTAATGAATGCTTGAATTTATACGGAAGCAGGGCTTAGCAAAATTAAGAGGGCAGCTTAAAGGACTGTATCGGGGTTTTTTTTCCTTTGTTTTTGTGTGTGTGTGTTTGTCCCATTTGCTACACTGTACATATATTTATATTACAGCTGACCATTTTCTAAAACATACTGTACTTCAGATGTTTAAATGCAGTTATGCTTTCCATCACCCTCAGTACAGTATGAGCACATAAAGGCTCAAAACCTAACACGCTTCACAAAGGCGATTAATTACAAAGAAGATCCTGCACACATGTGTTTTTGTCTAACTACTGTTGTGTGGTAATCACAGACTGTATGTCCATGGTGGGAATTTGGTTGAATGAATACAGTGACTTTGTGAAAACCTTCCAAAGTTAACTCACAAATTGTAAACCTAAAAGCAATCATAGGCAGTGTGACATGGATATGAAGACGTAAATATCTATCAGAAAACATGGTAGCAGTCTTCCGTGTTTCAGTTCTTGTGTTTTTTTTTGAGCTGTCAGTCACATGCTGAAGGCATCCACATAGCAGAATAGATGTCTCTGCCAGGAATCTGAATTGAGTTAAAAAACTGGATGACTAACAAATCCTGGTATTAACAGAAAATCAGTTGAATACTCTCAAATTTAAGTATTATGTGCCTTGGAAAATGGTTAGTAGTAATGTATAGTACATATGTATGTTGTAAAAGGGCTAAAACATGCTGAAAAAATGATATGGTCCTTTAAACAAGGGGAACATCAAGCAAGCAGTGACATTTAGGCAAGCCTTAAATAAATGGCAGGCCATTAAGCACTGGCTGTCTCGTGGACATGTTCCAATGAAGTAGGTCTTATTCTAGTGCAATGTTATAATTTAATCTATTATTTACATATATATATATATGTTCCATTAAGTTACAGTATGTAGCTTCCACTAAGAGAAACAGAGCGAACAAGCTTGAGAGTGGGCGAGGAAGAGAGTGAAACTGAGCCGAAACTTTATTTGGTTCCTTTTTTATGCAACATAATTGTGTAGTTAAGCACTATCACATATGCAACTAGAGTCGCAGTGACAGGTTTCTGAGAAAGAAGATGATCATGGATTAAACTGGTACACCAGTCTCAAATAAATGTGCTATTGAACACACATGGGCAGTACTGACTGACTGGCCCTAGACACTGTAGAGATGAAATCCAATTGTGGTCCTATTCTTTTGATTACTTGCCTTCTTTCTTCCTGTGTGTTAACTATACTGCTAACTTCATTCTTACCTAGCAAATACTGACATTGCTTACAGGTTTTCTATAATTATGTACAAATTGTCATAGTTCCAGAGTTTTACCCTACATTATATATTGTGATTAGGCCTACTGACCATTCACATTATGTCAGAGACTAGACCTTTCTTATAGCAGCCATTCTGACATGAAATAGTAGGGTAAACACTCAGCCAATTAACTATATTTGTGCTTGAGACTCATTTCTGATTTTCATTTCCCTCTCACTGTATTTTATGTAGGCAGTGTATCTTTCAATGTACTATGCA